AATAGCCTTAACCCCAGTAGATAAAAGTGGCACTTAAGAATAACAGTATGAATCAGATAAGGAAGATTCTTTATCTGGGGTCTACAGAGTCCACAAATGGGCTTTAATATATCCAAGAACTTAAAATTGATCTGTATGTTCAAATGATACTATTTCTATGTGGGGAAGTATCTGTGCAATTACACACTAAATTTATAATGGTGACTAATTTTGATGAGGTGGTAGAGAACTTTAGTTTTGATTCTTTTTAGTTTTGATTCTTATTTATCCTTTGAAATGAGTATTTGTGCATGAATAACATATGACTAAAACTAACTCCAAAATTGGTTATAAATGTATATTTGTAATATTTTATGAAGATGGGGCAATGATTTCATCTCATGCTAGGAAATATGAATCTTTTATGTTATATATTTTGAATCTGGAAAAAAGTGATACATCATCTGGTTAGAGACATATTAACTTCAAATTTTATATATTTGAAGTAATGTCAAATGTTTGAGAGGCTTTTTTGACCTTGTTGTGTTTGTTATTCCTTAAATGAATTGGACTAGATTTACTCATTAAAATTAATACTTTGAGGCAGCTCTCATTTATGTATAGCACCTCTCTTATATTGCTATAGTATGGATCAGAATGTACAGTAGATGGATTTCAACACAAACCTACAAATGGCTGGGTTGTTGCCATGGTGAACCAGGAGTCCACATAACAGGTGGCCTTGATTATGCTATAAATTTCACTCACCTAAAGTATCAGATTTATTAAGTGGAGAAAGCTATAATATACAAATAAAGTATTGTCTAGAAAAATAAGCAATAAGAATCATTCAAACTTTGTATGATTTAGGTATATATTTTTTTATTACTATTTAAGAAGACTGTGTTTACATTTGGGGTAAACTAGGCTTAGAAAAGTTCCTTTGAGGGGCACCTGGGTGGCTCAGTTGGTTAAGTGTCTGCCTTCAGCTCAGGTCATGATCTCAGAGTCCTGGGATCGAGTCCTGCATTGGGCAACTTGCTCATCAAGGAGCCTGTTTCTCCCTCTGCCTGTTGCTTCCCCTGCTTGTGCTCTCCCTCTCTCTCTCTCTGACAAGTAAATAAATAAAATCTTTAAGAGAACACTTCCTTTTAACACATTTAATTTATAGAATAATTATTAGATATAGATGGATGGAATTTGGGATGGTAGATATCAAATACAACTTAGCACCAGATGTTGTTCTGGACACAACAATCTGAATCTCTATATTTCTAAGTGCCAATCTAGAACAACAACAACAAAAATAAATCCTCTTGGAACCATTAATCTCTGTACCACTAAATACAGTCCATTTCCATTAGAGATGATGCACTGGAGACAGAGAAAAGTGACTATTGCATAGTAACTTGGAAACAGCCCTGTCTGGTTAACTCTGGTCAATAAATCTTACACAATCAGTTATATTTTACATGACTGTCTTTTCCAAAGCAGTTGACCCAATGGTTCCCTCATTGTTATCTGAAAGTATTGTCTTCCTTTAGGCTTTCAACAGGTGACTCTATTAGCTATAAGAGGTAACTAAGAAGAAGCTAAAACCCTGTAAGGAATTCACGGCTTTCTTTCTCTATACAATTTCAGTGAAATAATTTTTTTCCTAATTGTCCACACCTTTAACTGATCACAGGGAGCACCCTTGCCTGACTATGAAATAGTGACTGGAAATATAAGCACCCATCTCATGAATTTTTAAGCTCTTTATTTTATTTTACTATTTTATTTTTAAGGCACATTTTAAAAAAATGTGTGTATTTGGGTTCAAAGATCAAAATAGTTGCCTGAATTCTTAGTGCACTTGACTTAGATAGAAAGCTTATGATGTCAGAATACATACATAAAAAGTAATACCTTCCTAGTACACTTTTATTTGACTTCAAAAATTTAATTCAAAGATCTTGTAATAATGACAATAATGTGTTGAAAAAGACTTCATGACACCAATCAAAACACACTGATTATAGACTGTGGTTATCATGACAGGTTAATTATTATAAAATCCCATCTAGTGTTCATAAATAATACAGATTTTTAAATTCCTAAAATACCAAAGAGATCAATAATGTTGATCTAGTTTTCCTTTGCATTTCCTTGAATCTTTTCGGGAAGTGAGAATTGGCATTATTATTATTATTATTATTATTATTATTATTAAAAGTCTGAGGAAATAAATCTGTTGCCTCCAACTGGCACATAGCCTCTCGTGGTCTGGCCCCAACCATTCTTTCCATCCTTATCTTCCCCTCACACATAAGCACCAGAAAAATAGAGGAGACTATTTCATCTGGAATATAACCCATACCATCCCAGTTCGTGCTTTCATCCAGGCTACTTGAAAGGCTCTCATTTCTCATGCCCTTCACTGTCAGTCTGTGCACCCAGTATTAGTGGCTTGCATTCATTCAATGCTTACTACGCACAATGCTTTTACTAAGAGCGTTATTTCATTTGTGCCTTTTAACAACCCTATTTTACAGAATATGAGAAACTTTGGTAGTCATCCAGATAGTAAATGACAGATCTGGGATCTGCACCCAGGTAGACTTCAGATTTCACCTGTGATGCATTAACTTAACACCGTGATACATAAATTACAAGTCCCAGTAAACTGTCAAGGTCTAGAGAAAACAATTGTTCTCCCATGGATATTTCATTGACTTCCCCAACTTCTCTCCACTATATCTGCCCCTGTATCTCCCTGAGTCAAACCTTAATTTCTCACCACTGATAAAGTTAGTAATGTACTCCTCTCATTTCCTCCGCTAGGTATTCTGATTCATCTTAATAGTCTTTGTGTCAAAGAGTGCAATGGTAAGCCCTCTATTGATAATGGTTAAGTGAATTCATCATTGACAGATATGAGATAATTCAGACTATATCACAAATGACCTCTGAAAAACAATTTAAAAAATCAATTTAGCACGTCTATAATGTAATAAGTAATGATCAAGACTGAGTATTTCTTCACAAATTTGATTTTTTAACTTAAGTTTATAAGAATGATCAAAGAAGTGATCCATTTGGGCATCCTAGTTTCAAAATTCATTCATTCAATTACATACATTTAAAAATATTTTTAAAACAGAATTCAAAACATTGTTCAAGGATCCTAGGGGAATTTTGGTTACTCTAAAGAACCAGTTGAAAATGGAACTAATTCTTCATGATAATGACTATATATACAGTCATTATCACGACTTGCTTTTATTTGCTTTTTATTGAGCTGATTCAAAAATTTATTTTTTTACTTGCTTTTTATAGAACTGATTCAAAAATTTATTTTTTTTTTTGTACAAATACGTATGTTGACTCATTTAGATAATGGTAAATTGTCTGGGAAGAAAAAAAAATGTTTTTCTTAAATACGCCAAGCAAATATAACCATTTTTTTAATTCTTGAAGATAAAATGGATACTTTAATATCATTTACAGACAACCTTCGTTTATTCACCCAATTTCTCACATTTAAGAGGGGAAGTAATTTGAAGAGTTATTTGTGTCTCCTCTCTTGCAAGCCATCAAAAGGTCACTTTTTCTCACCTTTGTTTTAAATTTTGGTATTATATATTTTTTTGACAATTGTCTCACAGAAGTTTTGAAGTCTATTTCTGTTTAAATAATAATAATAACACATAAGATACAGAATGACCAAATTTAAGGTTTGCCTTTTAGCCTTTCATATTTAAATTTGAAGTGTATATTGCTAAAAATTACATAATAAAGAAAAGGGTAATTATTTGCAGGTTATAGTAACTTACTGAATTCAGAACAAGGATTCTTAGGAAAAACTCAGTGTAAAAATTGAGTACCACCATTACTTTTCCTTTTAACTTTTGCAATTTAAAAACATTTGCCTCATTTTGAAAAATTAAAATAAAAAAAACTATTTTTCCACAGCACAATTGTACCAGTTTTTAAAATGCTAGAATTCCTTCAGGAATGAATTACTTTAAAAAGATTTTCTTAAACTTAGTCATTTTTCCCCCTCAGTGACTCAAAGCACAAATAACCAAACCATGATTGTTAATTACACCTATTGATCATCAGTGACAGAACAGCATCCTATTAAATTATCTTGGAAACTGGAAACAAGCTAGAAACCAAGAAACCAGCTATAGAACTTAAAGGAGAAGAAAAAATTATTTTCACTATTAGGCCCACACTAGGAATAGTGCAGTTATTTTATTGATTGTTGGTGGAAGAATTGGGTCTCTGAGTCTTTCCTGGAGATTCACCCAAAGCAAACAAGGTCATTGGGTCTGACATCTGACCTAGAGGAAATTAATGACCTTTTCTCTGAGCATTAGGTACTCTTTAAGCTGAGTTATTCTCCAATTAGAATGTTGTTACATATCATAGCATTCATTGTTCAACTTACTGCCTAGAACTTACAAAAGAGTTTTTAGATGTTAAGTATCAGAAAACTAGCAAAGAGATTAAGAGCAATATTTTCTGGGATAAAATACTCCTTTTACACTCACACATTTTTGTTCTATCAGTGTTACCTTTAGTGTACCTTGGACACTGTTGCCCAGAAATAAATGCATAAATCTACTCTTGCTTCTGATACAAGAAAATGATGTAACACGTTCATTTTGGTTTTTCCTTGTAAAAGAAACAGGCTAAGTGAGTCTGCCCTTGACAGGTGTGACTCCCTAATCAGCACCACTAGGCAGCCTGTGCAGCTTCAGCTAGTGGAAACTCCCATCCCCCACCCCCAACTTTAAACAAAGCCATTTAATTTGGTCTTAAGCCAAGGTAAGAGAAAAAAAAAATACCAATTAGTAAGTAAAAGGACAACATAAAGAGGCAGAGTCTGCCAACAAGAACCCACATGCAAGCCAGAGGAGATTTATGATTTTCTTCCCCAGGGAGGGAGTGACTAACGCACGCACACTGACCATCACCGTAAAGAGGTAAAGAGAGAGTGAAATGGCTCAACGTACACACACCCCGCTCCATACCGGGGACGAGTCTCCGAGCTGCGGCTTGTGCTCTCGGAGGGCCAGGCTGAAGCTGACCGCCCCCACGGCCACGCTGGATACCCCCAGCCCTATCTCCAGCACAGAGAGCACCAAGAGGCTCCCAATAATCTGGCCGCTGGTGCACATCCTTCCTCGGTCATCATTCCTTCCAGATCAGAGAGGGAAACCAACCATCTACCTTCTTCCTTCCACTATCCTCCTTACCCCTTCCGCCCCCTACCAGACCCCAAAACTTTTCTTTCTTCACCAGCGAAGCATTATCCACAAGGACTAGATTTCCAGAACCGGAGACCCTCTTCCCGGACTGGGCCAGAGCAAAAGAGTCGTTCCACCCCCTGGTACGTTCAGGCAGGAATTTTCCTTGGTTCGGTGGTCGGAGTCCAGGAGAAGAGAGTGCACCGGTAGAAGGGCTTTCTTTCAAGAGGCAGCCAGAAACCAGGAGCAAGGAGCCCCGCTCGCGAGGCGCTGTCCAGAGTTCTGCCGCTTCCCAAGTCTCTGCAGGAAACCTGCTCGCTTCTAACCTCCCAGACCCTTCAGACTCCCCTTTCTTTCCTGGCGGAGGAGATGAACCTTGCTTCCCGGAGATCCAAAGCGGAACTGCTCAGAGCCTCTCTCTCTCTCTCTCTCTCTCTCTCTCTCCTTCTCGTCTCTCTCCTTTGTTTTCGTGGTAACACAAAGTGCTTCTGCGAGTCCTTCGGTCCCCAGGCTGAGCGGGCGGATATATTCAGTACCACGCTCCTCGCTGTTGCTGTGTCGCCAGAAAAAGCGACCTTGTCTGATGGCCTTTCCCCGTCTGGGTTTCTTCTCCCTCGTCGTCGTCCTCTTCCTCCCCCTCTCTCTTGGTCTGATTCTCTTTCATTTCAGTGACCTCATTGGGATTTGAGAGGTTGATGGAGGAAGGAAAAGCTGATGTGGGTCTACTCTTGGCTGGCTCCTGACCAGCCCCGCCTCGCGACCCTGACCACAGTGATCCAAAGGATTCCTACCTCTTCATCTCCCCTACTCGCTCCCTTCCGGGCTTTTATCCAGATGGAAGGGGAGGGATGCCTACGTCAACGTGGGGCTCATTCTGTGTGAAACTTTCTTCTGCGTGCGCACGGGGTAGGGTGGGGGCGCACTGGGCAAAGAAAGGCAGAAAGAGCAGAGGGGTGGAGAAAGGCCAGACTCCTAAATTCCCTAAGACTCCCTAGGACACCCAGGAACGCCTCTTTCTAAAGAGCGAGACTCAAGCCTGTTCATAAGGAGTACCTACTCTCCGTTGTCACGACCTGTCCTTTGTGTGTCAGTGGCAGAATGGTGTGGAGACGCAACTAGAGGGACAGTCTTCTGTGGGGATATTGGTCGCTGTTCCTCTCCAAACGGCAGACCCTTACTCTTACCCAGCAGCAATGCTACACGTTTGGGATACATTGTCAGACTGAGCACAAACTGGAACCCTGTGTTCTCGAATTCAAGAGATGTATACATTTAAGTATTTCATTGGAAAGGGCATTATTAAAAACAAAAATCTGGCTCGTTGAACAACTGACAGTCATTCAGAATCATTAAGGCAGGAGCCAACACTAGCTTGGGTGTTTTGTATTGTAGTCTGATGCATATGGGACTCCGGAAGTCTAGGAATTGCTGTGTCTGGGCCCCATTTTCATGTCCCTGGTTTTACCTCATGAAAAATCACAAGGTAGTTCATCAGGGAGACTCAGGGAGCGGGGGAGATGAGAAGGTGTTTTGGGGGTATGAGCCATCTTTCTCAAAAACTGGGTTTCACAATTGGAGATAAATGGAAGGAAAATAGAAGGAAGGACCGTTAAGAAACCTTATACAAAACCAGGACACCTTGACCTCTGAATACATGCAAACCAGTGCAATGCAGGCATCTCTCTGATTCGAAGTTTCTTTTTTTAGAGCCTCAATGCTGAGATCACTAAAGCTGAGTGACATACAATCTATACAGCATAAGCGCCAATTTCAGTTTTCTTAAATTTGGTTCAGGGCTTGTTCAATAGTGTAAATTCAATTCTACACTATAATATACTTTCTTTATATTTATACTCTACATTTTAAAAAACTTGAGTCCTCTCTTCTCCTAAAAATATAAAAGCAGGAAGAATGATAACTTATTAGGCCTTAAAGAGTCTTCAGTTTTTGTGAAATTTGGGGAACAACTTAAACACTTATGCTCATTCGTGAATTCATTTTCTGTATCTTGAAAACTCAGTCTGCCAGACAGCCAATTGTTAGAATCCTTCAAATATTTTTTGGGTTTTAATGAAACACAGTTGATTTTATTTAAATCTTGTAGAAGTCATCTAAATGGTCCAATTTATATGTAGAAATAATGAAGTATCTAGGTTGCCTAATTTTGGTCTGTCTTTAGTTACATCTTTTCCTTTTTTTTTTTAAATTCTTCTCCATTTGAAAGAGAATAACAAGCTACAGTAATTACTAAAACAGATTGGTTAATACAGACATTTGGGAGGAGTGTAACTTATAGGAAGGGAAATTAATTTTATAGGAACATACAGGTAGTGTTAACAATAGGTGGATTTCAAAGAGAGAAAGAAATGAGTAAGTCACATATTATGTTTGAATTATCCCTGAATGTGATGGCTAGAAATATGTTTACTTAAATACCCCAAAGCCTAATCATATGCCTGAATATAACAAACCTTGAGTGATCCTGGGTCATTAAAGCAAAGCCGAAACCTTACGAAAATCAAAAAATATGGAAGAAACTATAGCCATCTTCACTTACCAATAATTACAAGTGAGTCACACTTAAACAGAAACATTGATAGGAATAAAATGAAAAATAATAATTATCCATAGGAAATTATGTTCTGTGTTTAAAAACAGGGGGATCGATACTATTAGTCTTTCAAGAGAATATTACCTGTTCTGGGAAAAAAAGTCTATTTTGCATACCCTTTTAAATGATATAAAAGTAAGCAAAAGGATCACTAAAATTTACTCATAATCATGGAAACCATAACAAAAATGGATTCAAACTGGCATTTTATATCTTGCAAAACTATTTGTTAGAGAAAGAATTATAGGATAAAACAGCAAATCAAATTAAAACTAAATAAATATATGCATAAATAGGGTACATTGTTATGCAAATACCAAAGGCTCTACAATAAAAAGGTTTCATTTTTTTTTATGTCATGTTACACCATAAGAGCTATTCATGAGATCCAGCGATACAAGGCTCAATCTTACACATTTTCAATAAAAGCCATAGTTTGAAAAATCTCAAGTTTGCCACCTGCTGGCTTGTTTATGATACAGTGAACATGAATGTGTAGGTAACTTAAAATAATTCTTATTAAACTTATTAGCTAATCAGGAAAAAATCCTTCATAATCACCCTCTTTAAGGACCTACGTTCTGCCAATAAGTACTTAAGAGTTCTGAGAAACTCGTGCCTTCATCTTCCCAAATAAGACCTATAGAAATTTTAATATATGGGTAACAGAAATTATAAGAGTTGGTAAAAAAAAATACCACCTGTCTTAATAAAATGAATCAAGTGGAAGAAATAAGTAACTCAATCACTGATATAGATTTAGTAACTGAAAGGTCAAAATTTTAAACTGATCAGTTTTGGAATCTGATTTAAAGTGTTCAAGCTTTTATAAACTAAATTTATATAGTGACCCAAGCACTAGACGGAATGACTAATGAAGTCTAAAGATTAAGGAAAAGAAAAAAAAATCACAAAATCATTACAAACAATTTAGCAGCTTTTAAGTGTTACAAGTCTATATCTTAATACTCTTGAGTCAACATGGTTAGAAATGATTTTATCTAAAGACTTAGCATTTGATAAAGAGACTGCTAAAAAAGGGAAAAAGAAAACAATATTTTGAAGATATGTTTTCTTATTCAAATATTAAGAAGCAGAGACAATTAAAAGTGAATTTGTCTTTTCTTTTCTACTATCTACTACGATAGTAGATGTTAGAAGTCATTATCTAATAGTATTGTCAGTGCTTACAAAAATTAGAGAAAGCACAGTGTACTTAGTACTGTATTTATCATAATTTCCCATTTATGCCTGAAATATTCTTTGATTACTAACAACTGTTATCATGAAAAAAAAAACCCCAAATGATGTATTTTACAGTATTTCTACTCTTAATAAAGTATGGGTGGGTATTTCTACTCCTGGCCAGTATAGGGTAAATGGATTGGACTACTTCCCTACTATATACAATGTATTCAAATAAACTGTTCGGATACTATATGACAAGCAGTGCAGCACTGTAATCTTCAGGAAAGGAGAAATAAGCAAGGTTTTCTATTCTGGTCTTTCTATGAGAAAAGGAGTACCAAGCAGAACATGGTGGTCTTACTGAATTTCTGGGGTATATAGCAGAGTTTCTGGAGGCTATTTTCAGGACAAAGTATTAGAAAGGAGGGTATTTCATGGAGAAATAGATCTCCATAGGGATCACTTGAGTCTGCTGTTAAATTCTTAGCCACACAGTCATGGGATATAACTCCATAAGCCCTCAAGCAGAATGATTCGAAAACTAAAATCTGAAGCTTACAAGATGTCACAGAACGTTAAGATTCATAGCAGCCAACAAGACTCTTCGTTGAACACTCAGCCTTCAGTGGAACTCAGGTGGGGCACACATAGGTAATAGGGCTAACCTACACCTGAAGTAAAGGCAACTCTATATCTGACCTGAAAATACTTCAAAACAGGCCTCTAAAATATCAGTCTATTCTGTAAGTAACTTAATAAAGTTTAACACATCTTAAAGAAAATGATAAACCATCACTCAACAGTGTAAAAGTCAGAGTATACACTATCCAGTTATCTGAAATACAAAAAAAGTTGGAAAATATGATCGATAACTGAGATATCAGAGATGATGAAATTAGATAACATTTTAAAATCTCTATTATAAATATTAGAAATATGTTCAAAAATGAAGAGGAAAACATTAATGTGATACTATATAAATTGAAGATATAACAACAAAGTACAACTTCTACAGATGAAAAATGGTATATCTGAAATTTAAAAAAGTACATTTGAAAGTAATAGCAGATTAGACACTAAAGAAGAAAAGATCAGTGAACATTAAGATATAGCAACAGAAATTAGAATTACA